AAAATATACATAAAAAGTAAAACGTTGCATCCACATTTTGAAAAGAAAATTGTACTAAAATATATGTATTCTGTATTTGACAAACAGTTCATCCGACAAATGAAGACTCACAGGAATATGTTTCAGCTATTAGAACAGAATGATAGAGTTTTTATAATACTAGTTTAAAAACGCACTTCAAAAACAAAGATTGCAGTATTGGAAGATGTAGATTCTCAGGAGAAAACAGTACTGTTGACTTCTCCCTCCACTGGACATCAACTAACTATTTAAGTCATGTGAGAACAAGATTTGCATACAAAGTAGAGCTTGCAATATGATAGCTATTCATAGAGGGTGTTTTTTTTTTACTTTTCATATAATACAGTAGTCACACAATGAGGCAAGGCAGTTCATATTTGTCTCAGTGAATCATTAACCTGTACAAAATACTTGCACAAAAGCCAGATAAGATTTTCTGTTATCTTGCGTGTTTTATGAATCTATTCATGTCTAAATACAGCACTTTTTTTCTGCGATGAGGCATTTGTTTTTATACTAAAATATCTCAATTACTTTGAATAAAGCTGGAAATTATGTCCCTTAAAATAATTAAACAAATAAGACACCAATGTTTTTGTAAGATATTTACATCTTTTAAGGACATTCGGTAGACTGATTCCCCACAGTTGGTTCAACCCCAAAACTTGTTTGTATTCAAAATTAATTATGACAATGCATATTAATATTGAAACAAACTATGATAAAGGGAATTATATTACTAGTATATAACAAAGGGCAAGGTCACCAAAGTTCAACTATGTTTGTTGACTTTGTCTTTGTCTGATGTTTCAATCAAAGTGATGTAAACCTTATAAAAATTCTTCATTATTTGCTTATTCATTGAGCTACTTGACAATAATAAGTGTAATAATAACAGTAATGTAATGTGACAGTAATAAGTGATGTAAAAAGTTTCAGTTGCAAAAATGTGTCTTTGGACAATTTGAATATAAATGATGGTCAGAACACCCAGGTCAGAGCGGTTCTAAGGTCAGCCATCTTAGAGTTAGGACTGAACATACATTTGTTGTTGTCAAATAAACTGTTGTGTTTAAGCCTTAAACAAGTTATACAAAACATGCATCATAACAGATTGAATCGATAATATAACAAACCCAAAGACCCCATTCATACATGTTCAAATACTTTGCATAATAGCCCCAAGACCCAATAAACTTTAGGAATGATTTTATGAAAGCAACATACCATCTTTCCTAAAATTCCCATCTGTTGGTCAGCAATAATGATTGGAAGTGCCAAATAATCAAACATTGTATGTTCTAAAATATTGTTATTCTGTTATTAGGATACAACACAGTTGTTCAAATACCTTCTGGTGCTAAAAATATAGAAGTCAGTCAGCATGGTTATAAAAACCAAATTGATGATGATAATTATTTAGGTGAGTACTACTTCTGGTACCTCATTTGCATATGTGTACATACAAACGCTAGTCTTATGTGATTCTAAGCTTGGTGACAAATTTCTTTTAATAGAGCTCAACAGTTGATCCGTCTATGCTTTATAAATGGAACTAATGAAAGAACCAAACCAGCTAATTGCTAGGATGGACATGGCTAATGAGTAAAAAGTGAACAATTTGGAAAGCACTAAGTTCCCTAATTCGTTTCAATGGAAACACTGACTTGTTGATTTCCCTATAGTGTTACACCCTTCTTTGACAGCCATTTTGAATTGATTATGGGTTAAAATACCTAGGGAACTAAGGTTCATTATTCGAACTAGTTTGGGTACCTCAAGATTTTTCTTCAGACTTTCAAGTAAACATTACTGGGAATAACTTGGTCAACTTTCAGAAAATTCCTGTTCTAAATGTATTAGCTGCATCCATCTTAAAAACGTTTGTCTGATGTCCTCAATCCAAGTAATGCAAATTATATTTGTTTTTGTTGTAGCTCTTATGAATAGCAACTATCAATATATAATGAATGGTAATTTTGCTGTTAGTATGTACAGAAGATTTGTAGAAGTAGCTGGAGCAGTTATTGAATATAGTGGTTCTAACACTACCATTGAAAGAATTAATTGTTCTAGAAAGATAGAAGAAGATATTATTGTACAGGTAAATCAAATCAGAATTGCCATGTGTAAGTGCAATTAGTGTTCTGTTTGAGTAAGACTGTGCCTTATTGGCTGTCCTACTATAACACCTGAGTGTTGAGCCAATCCCAGTCAATATAAGTATATTCAGAGTTCTGTTATAGTAAGACTGTTCCTTATTTGCTGTCCTACTATAACACCTTACTATCCAGTCAGGGTACACCTCGTTCATATACTCTGCTTGAGATGACCAATAAATTCTAATTCTCATGCTGTGGACTCTGAACAATTTCTCATTTATGATACATTACAAAATCATTATCCACTGGTGAGTCACTGTTTACAGAAGTGTGCCGAATAGTGTTTAATATGGATACTTTGCGATGTACATAACATATGTGTAAAATACTTTAATGATGATTGTAGTGTTGTAACTCGTCTCTCAAGGTCCTTATTTGCCATTTTCTTTGTAGGTGTTGTCTGTTGGTAGTTTGAATCCCCCAAGGATTAGATATACTTACACCGTCCCAATTGTAGATAATGCTGTCATCTATGTATGGGATCGTTATGGTCCATGGAAACAATGCTCAAAACAATGTAATGGTAAGCTGCAGCCCCTCTATTTTTTCCGGACATTGTTAATACTGGGATAGTAGATAGAAGTTGCACTCTGAGATTATTTCATATTGGTGTCCCTGTAACTATCATGCAATTCGTACATACCATCAAATATGTCACATAATAGTCCCCCCAATAAAGCGTTATGACTAATCTTAGAATGCAATTTCTGTAATGCCATTATGGTTGGAAGATGGTGACACATTCCTGTCACATAGTCTGAAAGCTGTATATATACTGTCAGCATGTGCACCTACTATTTACACTTCAGGAGCCACAAATTTATTAATTAGTAATTACTAATTATTAATTACTAATGGCAAATGCTATTGTTTTTATATATATCAGGAGTTAAAGAGAGAGTCATTCATTGTGTGGGAGCAGATGACAGAGGAAAAGTAGAAGATCATCACTGCAACGCCCAATCTAAACCACCTGCTCTTCAGGCACCTTGTAACGCAAAATGTATTCCTGTGTAAGTGACAATACAGAAAATGGTGTAATCCATCTATCAACTAATTTGAGACTGAGATCACATGTTCATAAATATTTACTGTAACGCAATGCAGTGATTACAATTTCACTGACACATTGATAGCCGAACAAGTTTGCCTCTATATATTAGTGAAAACATTCAGTATTATGAATGACAATATGTTAATTATTATTTCTACAGTGTACCTTATGCAATGAGTTAGCGTAGTTTCATATTTCAATTATAGATGGCAAACTGAAATCACAACTGCATGCTCAGTTCGTTGTGGTACTGGTAAACAGCATCAAGTGAGCGTATGTACAAATTCACGAAATAATAATACAATTTCTGAAGAACACTGTGATTTACAACCAAAACCTTTGGAATATGTTGAATGTGAGGGTAGTTGTCGTCAAACGCACTGGGAATACGGTAGTTGGTCTGAGGTATGTGCATTTATACAATCTTCTTACATTGGAACACGCTACCCAGAAATTCTAATGTAATCTCTAACTTTTACACTACTGTAAAATACTTTACTTTAGGTGTGAATTAATTGTTTTTTGGTATTATTTATGTTTTGTATTTTCACTGATTTTTGATGAGTTGTAAAATATAGGAAAAACAATATATTTGCTGAATCACCCCTTTAGCGAAAATAGCAAAAATATTTTTACAGTGTATCAATCTACCCAAAGTATTATAGACTTGCAACACATTGCTTGACTTGATCTTTGTCAAGCTAGTAATAAAGGCATTTCTCTTGCAGTACAACTTGAAATCCCATAATTCCTTAAATCATTTTCAAACTTGAGATTTGTCGTATAGTTTTGTGATTCAGTGTCAGTAAAATTCACATTTGTTATCAGTGTTCTGTCACATGTGGTGGAGGAAGAAGTAATAGAAGAGCCAGCTGCCTAGAAGATACTGGTGCTGAACTGAGTGACAGTGAATGTGATATATCTCAACAACAAATAATCACGACATCATGTCAGGAACAGAAGTGTCCTTACTGGGAACATACAGATTGGTCAACAGTCAGTACCTTTAAATTATTTAAAAATTTACAAATCAATACCAGTAATTTGAATTATCAGTATTTTTCAATATTATTAGTGAGATACATGTACCGGTAATATAACAGATATATGTACGGTCATTTATTTATCATTTCACATAAAAGTTTTTCAAATAATCTTCAATTAAAAGTAAAAGTATGGTTGACATGTCTGATATTAGAGATTCACAATAACACAATAAGGATTCAAATTAGTGGTCATTTTGTCAGACTAACATACATTTGTACAACAGGATGTGTGGCCTGTAGAAAGAACATTGAATACATGAGTTTATTTCAGATTGAATTTTACATAGCCCTGAGTACAGTCCTGTAGGTTGGCCTCTCTCCGCTGATCATTTGGCTCCCACAGTCCTGAGAAAATGTATAGACCGGGGATTCGACACCATGTGAAACGTAGTATTTAAGAGGCATTCAACTTTGCATCTAAAAATAAGCAGGTCGATGCGTTTAATTATCCCAAAAACCTCAACTGGAAGCGAAATTACAAAAGATTTCCCACCAGGGTTGTTTAATTAACATTTTCCAACGTCAGCAGAAAATATATGCCACCCTCTTGACATATTTATAAATAAAACTTTGTTTTGTTTCCTAAAACTAGCTTTCGTCAATGTTCCAGCGCTGTAGGTTCATTTTTTGGCCACAAGAAAGGTATTTATGATCGCTAGATTGATTGATCTACGTTTCGGCTGATTACAATTGTGAAAATTGTATGAAAGGATCTCCACCATAAATTTGTAGCCACAAGTTGAATCCCCAGTTTATACTCCTTCTCAGGACTGTGAGGGCCGAATGATCAGTGGAAGGAGGCCAACCCACAGGACTGTACTCAGGGCTAAATCTTACAAGGCTCATTGACATCATATCATCACAAGTAGAAAATACAAAAAGCTGTTGATTGATTGCAATATTACAAATTATTATACATCTGTCAGCATAACGCCATAAGCTACAGTGTGCCGTCATTTTGTGGTATTTTACGGGGTATTTTCATCCTACCATACATGTGTAAAGAAATTCCAAATATGAAATGATTATGTGCATAAGCATCCTCTAATAATAAAAACAAACATGGCTGCCACCAGATTTTGACTCTGTTTGCTTGTTCTAAGCATTTTGAATTTCGACATTCCCATGGTGTATCCTTGGAAGGAAAAGATGTATAAAAATAAGGTTATTACGAGAATATCTCAAAGTATGCACGAAGACAGTACGTTGCGCATCAACCTCCACTGCGAGTCGGTCGATACTCTAACTGTACTGTCTTTGTGCATACTTTGAGGTATTTTCGTAATAACCTCATAGTATTTATTGTTTCCCACTAGTGTTCAGTGACATGTGGAGCTGGTGAGAGAGTTCGACAGTTGCATTGTATGTATGGTAACGATTATGTTGGTGAAATAGAATGTGAGCAAGCCACAATGCCAGCCAGTAAAGAAGCATGTGTTTTAGAAGACTGCCCTGTATGGAGATACAGTACAGTAAGTACACTTTTACAGTGACCATCTTGCATTTCAAAACTTTATTGTAATGGAATAGATAAACTTTCTTCCACAAAAAATGGGGAATGTTATATATTTTGTTTCCAAGCATATACATGTGTTTGACATAGGCTGATCCTACCAGGGTACTGTCTATTGAAGTTTTTAACCCTAATAACTATTTCAGCACCGGACTTTCTCGCCAAAATTATTCTGCACTTTTTTCTTATATTCTTCAATATTTCTGAAAATGAACTCTAATTTTTGAGAACAGACAAAATTTGAGTCAATTTTCAGACTTTACTCGAAAAATTTGGTGATTTTTGTTAAAGTGCAGACTATAAAAAGGACGACTTTTGTGCATTTGTGATGAAAAAAGGCAACAGATGATGAAAAGGTTAAAGCATATGGTTTCATTCGTGTGATGTATTCAGCACTTAAAAGATACACTGTTTGTTTGAATGCAAAATTAAAACATGCACAGCACGACGATAGTGGTAGTTGAAATATACCAGGAGTACTTCAATTTGAATTGAATTTCTAAGTGAGAGTAAAAATATAAGAAACAAGGATTTTTGATTTTCAATATTGTATGTCTAATGAGCAGAAAAATTAACCCAAGTATCTTCCCATAGAAAACTTTCTTTTTAAAAAAACATTGAAAGTCTTTTATTTTTGTTTCAGTGTTCAGTTACATGTGGAAGAGGATATAAACTGATTGAATGTTGTGCTAGTGATGGTACCATACTTGATGAAGAACACTGTAGTCCTGCACTCATACCTACAATGGAATGTAACCGACCTGCATGCCCTGATAATGTGCCAACAACAATTACTAGTCAGCTTTTAATAAGGAAATCACCTAGAGTCACACAGTGGAGAACTGGATCCTGGACACAAGTGAGTATAAAATAAGTGTTGACTTCACTACCGTACATTGTTTCGCTGCATTGGTATTTTAATAAAGCCAATTATTGTACTGAATATCTGTATTTATATCATCAGTGTTCAAAGACATGCGGAGTTGGTAGCAAGGAGCGATATGTCAGCTGTCGTGACAGTGAAGGCAAAGGAGCAGATGACAGAGAATGCATTGATTCTGAAAAACCACCATCCAAAGAAAGTTGTCAAGTTCAGCCTTGTCCTTATTGGAGAACTGGGGAATGGCTTCCAGTGAGTGCCAAGTATTTTGGTCATCTACTTATCTTAAAGTCACAGTTCCATATTTCTGTAATATAATAAAAGTTAAAATTTGAACCACAATTATTCATTTTGAATGTTAAGTTTTCTCATATTTACTTCCAAAAGGGATCTGTCAGCATAATATAGGTTTATTAAAATTATAAACTTATAATATCCAATTTATGATTTAATATTTTTAGGGGTTGATGTTTTTTTTCTATAAATATTATATGTATATTAAGTAAAAGAATCTTAAGAGAGACCATATCATTTTAATACTTGATGAAAACCATACCTTGACTAGTACCGGCATATGTACCTTACCCACCTACATTGTCTATCTTGTGCTGAATATGGAGCATCAACTGAAATTGAAAAGACAGGTAGCTCATTGATAAGATGGCCTCTGATGGCTAGGTAACCCAATTATTACTACCAGACAGTCGTAAATTAATTAACATTATCAATGCCTGCTTCAGGTGTTCAACTCTGTGCATCAGGTCCAATTCTGTTCATTATCAGTCGGCGGTTAGTTACTGAAAACCGCAATAGTGTTAGTAAGTCAACAAAGTTTTTTGGGATTAGTATGCTGTATGCTGTCAATTCTGCCTAATGTGTAGGATGACATATTAAAAATGTGAAGGTGTCAATTTAATGGATGGTAATGGTAAATCTTATACTGCCCTCTGGTGTCACAGGAACCAGAACAAATTTGATTATCCTAAAATCAAAACTAAAACAATTTTGTTTGGTTTTTATTTACAGGGCTTCTAATTCTATTGTTTTTTAACCTAGGTGTTTGAATTATGGTTCAAATAATATGTTTCCCATCATTTTCAAGCATTGCAAAGTTGCCTCCCATTTGATATAGTCTACTAAAGAAATTACCTTTCTATTAGCTCCCAGCCATATTAGCTATTACTATTATTAAAATATTGTTGGCATCATTTTTATTTTTTCCAGTGTCCAGTTACATGTGGTTCAGGCATAACCAGTCGTTATGTGGCATGTGTTCAAGAAAATGGTGAAATAGCTATAACTGAAACCGATTGTGATGTATCACAAAGACCTAGCTCAGAACAAAAGTGCAATACCCATCAATGTATGATGATCAGTGATGAAATAGTTGTGGCAAATGTATTTATCAGTAACATTAAAGTGGCACATACAAGTCATTGGAGAACTGGGCCCTGGGGATCAGTAAGTTTTAATCAGTTTCATAAACAAACAAACATATCATATAGTCACTATCAGATTTCATCCATACTTGGGTATTATCTTGTATAGTTATGTTAACTTGCAAGTGTTTTGTGTGTGTTTTTTTCTGTTTGCAAGCACCCATAAACCCCAAAATGCATTTATTTGACCAGTAAAACACCTCATACCAGTGTGTTTTGAGTAAATAAACAATGTATTTACACATGTTGTTCCATAGGATTATTTTGAACATGCGTACACAAATACAACTTTTATTTTGCATTGATACATCTCTGTTATTTTTGTACTAAGTGCATGTGCTATTAATAGAGGAAATATAGTATTTAAAGTTGTCTGTGTCCTTGCGATTGAGATTACCAGTGTATTTTTATTAAAATTTATTCTTATATATTGCAGTGTTCAAGTACTTGTGATCAGGGTTGGAAAAGACGTGTTGTAGTTTGTCAAGATGAAAATGGTGATATTAGTTCCTGTGATGAGTCACTAAAACCAACTGATATTGATGTATGTGATGCAGGTCCATGTCCTACTTGGAACTTTGGCGAATGGGGAACTGTAAGTCTAGAGACTGTTCATCTGTCTTATATGTTGCCATGCTGTAACACATAATGTACCATCCACTTAACTTTCTCAGTATTTTGGACATCAAATAAATACCAAAGATCCTAATTGCTCTAGATTTATGATAACCACATCTCGAAACCTGACTGCTAAATGGCTCAACCATATTATTATTACATTATTAATATTTCTCTGCTCTCCTCAACAGTGTTCCAGATCTTGTGGTGGAGGCACCAAATCTCGTATTGTACAGTGTCAGACGTATAATGGCCAGCCACTGAATGACCATGGATGTTACCCTGTAGAGAGGCCGCCAGACACCATTCCTTGCAATGTAGGAGAATGTCCTTCATCAACGGAATGGTACAGAAATGACTGGTCACCGGTAGGCTGATGTTTGTATACATACTACTTAGCAGTACACATTATTATGATAATATTTATTTTGAATGACGACTTGTTCGGTATTGGATGTGATTTCACTTACATATGCATATCCTGTTTATTGGATATGAATGAGCTGTTAGCAGCAGTGATACAAATACCTTTGCTAATCAGAAAATTTTCAGTTTTAATGTGAACAAATTGTGAGTTATACATATAATCGTCAATAGCTTATCAAGTAAAATGGTTATCAGTACCCCTATTGAATTGGAGATGAGAAATTAGAAGACTGAAAGGACATCTCCATGGCTACAAGGCGATTATGAATGGTGATGAAAATAATGGTAGATTTGATGACACATCAACAATTTGGGAACCTCCATGCATACAAGTATAATGGGAAAAAACAACTGATAAAATTAAAGTGTGGATACACTGCTGTATTTTTCTGAAATACAGTATACCATTCTGTCTTCATCGCAACAATTTTTGACTGTAGCAATTAGATGATTTTAAGGGTATTTGCAAGGGTAAAATAGCTGTGACTCCTTGTCCTAAGGCCTTGAGTAAATAAAGTCTTCATTGCTGTACAATTTGGACATTCTCTCTGTCTCACAAAAAGTTAAAACAGTCTACAGGTTCCCATCTTTTCTGTGTACTGCAAAGTAAACAAAATAAAAATAAATAGATATAATGTTTTATACATACTTTGTAAATAGTTTTTGATATCATACTATATTTATATAGTCAAAGGAGAAAATAATTAAATAATATTTAAATTCTTACACCAATTATGCAATGAAATAAAGAGTTTTCATTCATTTATTGTTGTAATGCTAACGTCTACTATTTTTGTTTCTATCGTTTTCTACGTCAGGTAGTAGTATTCTATTTTTAGTATTTTTACAGGGTCTGGATTTTTGAAAAATTCCTATCGACTATTAATCTCAGCTGAATTAGATAAAAAAATGTATTTTTTTTTTAAATCCACCTTTATTGTTGATTTTTGTGCTGCCTACTAAAACTGTTTCATCTACCTCACTTTGTATGTTGTAGCTAATTTATGACAACACTTTGTCCAATGAAAGATGAAAGCGAAGTCACATGACCTTTTTGTCATGAATATTTATAAGACGTATTCTGTGCAGCAGCAAAATATTTTTTTTTTAAGTTTTCATCTTTCGCAGCTACCTCAATAAAAATATTACGGAAAAAGACATGGTAGACATGGTAGCAGTTGTTTTATATGATAATAAACATTTTGCTAATTACAGATCAGAGGGATGTTGCCAATAAAATTGTCTTGTTAATTAATTATATTAACTGAAATAACAGCCAGTTAAAATTTTTAAAAATATAACTAATAATCCTAATTTCCCATCAGCATCTAAAAAATATGCATGAATGACAAGCAATGCTCATAAGGTAATATGTTAAAATACAACAGTCATCGCATCATGACATGTTTGATCGTGCGTTCTGCGATGACTCTCGCGTTAATCAGTAACTATGTTTGATAATTTAACATTCATCTTCAATGTAAATCAGTTAGAAATTCAACATAATATTACCGGTATGTTCCAAAAATTTGAAATACAAACAACATACCAGAAGTTTAACCAGTCTCGTAACTGTTTTTCATTATAGACAAATTCAAAGTGTGCACAAATTGTAACTTACACTTCACAAGTCTGTTTATCAGTTAGGAATTATAGGAATTCACACATATATTGGATACAAATATTAAAACTGAAATATATTTTAAAAAGATCAGTAACCAATTGTTTACACATAAAAATAGTTCAATGTTGTTTCTATTTTAAAGTGCCATTTTAATCATGTCAAAAATACATCATTCTCTGAAAGATACAAATGGCTTTAGTTCGATCTTAATATAACATTTTATATGTCTACTGCCTTTAACTTGATTTGCCTAATGTTTGGTTTGCTAACTTATTGTTTGCCATGTTTTTGTTCTGAAGTCTTTTATTTTTAAATTAAAAATATTTAAAAATAATAAAAATTGCAAATCAGAGATACACAAGGAATATACTATGTCATGTGATATTGTGTTTATTTCTGGTTTCAGGAAAAAATGAGAATTTTATCAGCAATATTTGTATGAAAGTATTTTGATAATGTTATGTAATGTAATTGCTTAAGTGTAGTGTTATTATTATTATTATTATTATTGTTGTTGTTTATTTAAAAATATTGAAAAGATTTGAATTTCTGACACTGCAACTTTTATAGATTCAAGTTTCATTTTTTTTATGATTTTTGTACATTGTAAATTAATTTTTTTTTATACCTATAAAATTTAGTGTTATTTAAAATTTGAAAAAGCTTCAGAAAGAGCCTGTGGATTGTCTTTGCATCAGCTCTTACTTAATAGTGATTCATATTATTTATTATCAATCATTTTGAGGGAGTTAGAAAAAACATTCAAGGGAAATGAATGGGTGTGTGACCTAAGTACATAAGGAAAGCCAAGTGACCAAATGCTCTCTGAATAACTGTCAAAACACACAAACATAATTATTTGTACATAATGAGTAACCCATGTTTGAAACACAGTAACTTTTATTATCTTCCCAGTCCAAACCTACCTCCATCCCTATGGACAGACGTACACAATTTATCCATGAGAACATTAAAAAAAAAATGTTTATTTTTTACTAATTTCCTCGAGTACAACATGTATAAGCAACAGTACATATTGTAAATGTGGTGGTGGTTCACCACTATCTAGTAAGAATAGAGATAATTTAAAAGTACTATATCTACTTGATATTTTACTCATTCAAATGTGGAAGTATAACAAACAATCAAATAATCACAGAGAATAACTTTGCAAAACTTCATGAAATTTCTCTCTGTATTCTCCACATAACGTTACTTGATGTCTAGTGCACTGCCCTCTGTTGGCAGCCAGCATTGTGTAATGAATCCCCATATTTAGAATATGTTTTGGATGATTATAGAAATAAAGATAACATTACAATATTCATATAAACTAAAGGAATCACCCATAGATGCTTATCATATGTACTTGAACTCAATAATTCTGATGATTTATGACTACTAGTAAAAAATTTTGCCTTTACTGAGCCTTTTTGACCCTGTCTCTAAACTTTAATGACTTGCTACATGCTCAAAATGATTACTCATACTTTTGAGTTCAAATCTGCTGAAGAACATTTAATATTACTCCAGAATATGATTTACTATGGTTTGTAACAAGCGTCCTCCGTTTAAATTGGTGCAAACCAGGCAAAATCGTAAAGACATAAAGTAACATTAAAGTTTTTATGATGGTGATTAGAAATATGTACCATAAACTGAAACACTAGGACAGTATTACATTACAAGATGGGATGACATACATAACTTGGTTTTGATGAACTAACTTTATTTCACTGTATCTTAGCACTCATTACTGTTAATTATATTTTACAATTTGGGTTGTCCCATATAATTTATTTTGGCCCAGTATTACATTGATTATGACAAAATTGGGGCACTGGGGCACTAATTCAGAATTTCACGAAAGTATTTGTCATGCCAATCAGGGAGTAGATGATATAAAACGAAAATTACAGAAAAGTGGTATTGCATGAAAAAAATTAAAGATTTGTACAAACATTGCAGTGAATATGCTAATGTAAAAGACATACACGTAGGTGTGTCTATGCTCAAAATAAGTTGTATTTAAATGATCCAGCAAATGTAATGCAGTACTTTAGATTTACAAGATTTTAAATTGTGTTCACTGAAAAATGAAACTTTGAACTGGCTTCTGTTGTCCTTGTTTTTTAAGAAACTGTACCACTGTACTCCAGGGTTGTGGTTAAAGCATGGCTAACCATGCATAATGCATAGTAAAACTTCTGAAAACAAACTAAATTTGCCTCATTGATCACACTGGCTGTTCCTTTTCAATAGATTGCAAGGGCAAATGTTCTATTAACTGGAATATATTGCAGGAATTTTAAATATTAATAGTCTTTTGTTTAAAACTGCTCTACCTAAGTAATTCTTCCCTGGAGATTCGATGATTAAAGTTTTTGCTTTGAGATGTATGGTATTATTTCAATTAGAGAATTGCGTACTTGAGAATTTTAAAATATCAAGTCTGGTGTAGGATCTTATCAATGTCAAAAATAGACTGAATTGGTCTTTATGCTCTTATTGGCAAACAATTTATCTCTTATATAAAAACATGTGAAAAGCTTCTTCTAAGTTGTTAAATTTAATATGTGTTTTTTGTCGAGGAAGACTGTCCAACAATACTATATTGGAAACAAATATGTGATAAAACATGTGGTTCATAAATTTGAGTGATGAGTCTTCCCCCAAATGTAGCCATTTTGTCTGCATTATTTGCACAAATTAGACATTGGATTTATCTTTAACATATAGGTCATCTAAATACAGCACTGGTTCCCAATTAAACCTCTAGTGGTGTCATGTGGTAAATGATTTGAGTAGTCCAGGGACCTGTGATAGAATATCCTCTTACTTTAATTGTTTGTACATTATTTCAAAATAAGCAAACAAAAAGAGTATAGAATGCAAATGTTTTTACCAGTAGTCCCTGACTGAATAAAATCTTGATGCTCATAGATTAGGTATGTCAGATAGGTTCCCAAAATGGTCTAAATTATTGGATTCAAACTTTGAATATTGATGAAAAGCTGTTCCCACATCACTGTTGTTCCCACATCACTGCTGTTCCCACATCACTGTTGTTCTCACAATGTTTCCACTCATTGACCATCAAATTAAAACTTAGTCAATGTTGCAGAACAAATAATTGCTGCCACTATTGTCAATGTCTCCATATAGTTAGGACAATTCATATTTTTTTAGTAATTATCGTAGTTAATTAGTAATCTTTAGTAATTAAAATTAAGTAGTATGTATCCATTGACAACTTAAAATAAATGATTATTCATAATTTTAGGCATATGGTAGATGTTTTAGGAGTTTTTACGTTCT